AACCTCTTTGTTTTGCTGATGGAGGAATTACATTTCTAGACATCACAGCTCCAAGGAAAACTTTCTAAATGTACTCCTATCTTCATCAAGGGTGTGTCCAAACACAGATGCATGCTCTTAGTTAGGGTGTGAATGCACAGGACACTCACTACTCTTCATCAATTTCCATCTGAAATCTCTTAGACTGTAGTTGCATGAATACTTCCGACTACCCTAAGACAGTGGCAGCATCAAAAAATGTCTTGTTCTCACTGTTCCTGCGTTACCATCTCAACAGCAATGCACAAATATTTGTGCAGGACTGCTGTGAGCTGGGTCAAGGAATTAAACTGAGTTTATATGAGCCACATCTTTAGATCAGTTCCAGATCTGGGATGAATTCCTCAGTCTGAGCCACTTGGTGACTACATACATTCTTTCATTAGCACAAGGGAGAAGGATGCACCACGGTGAGTTTTTAGGACACATCTATAATGACTTTAGCAATAAACCATTAAGAATTCCTGTGCAAAGTCATATGCTCCTTTCAGAAAGTGGAGGTGACCATTTTACACCTAGGAGTCCATAGAAGGAAACGTGCACAACAGCCAGGATGCTGAAAAATTCACAGTTTTGCTTATTGCACACAAACCTTTCCAGGCAGAAAAGCCCTGCAACTGCACAGAGGCAAACAGCAGTTCTAGATGGACTATAAATGGCTTTCTTCAGTCTATTGGGAAGCAAATTGAATGTGTGTAAACGTGTAAGAAATAACTGGCAGGATCGTGAAAGAAGAGATTCTGTATGATTATGTACCTCTGTGATATTTCATCTCAGTAGTACCCTCTTATAATTATTCCTTAATTAACCCGAGCTATTTTACTATCCTAAAACAACACATGAGTTGGATAGAAACAGAGGCAATCTTCCTTTTCTTAGACTTTACCACCTCAACTTAGAGATTCTCACACCTTCAGCATACTACCTTGTGGTACAAAAGCTTGCTTTGCTCCCTATAGCATTATACAGCATTAAACAGCAGCCATATAAATGAAAATAATCTCTGCTTTTGAACAAGCTAGCATGCCCATCTACAGTAACTGTTAACAAACATGCTTGGCTATGTTTTGCCTAGCCAGACAAGAAAAATTTCTTTCCTTTGAACTATGGCTTATGATTCCCACTCCCCTCTTCCCTTTTCACATGTTGTTCTTTTCATACAGCACAATCATTCTGCCTCATCATCCAAATCCAATTCATCTGGCAGGTACTTTAAGATGAGCAAGTATTCCCACCTCCAGGAAGAGAAACACAATTTTGACCACAAGGCCTCATTACTAGCTGACTGGATTTTTGCATTTGCATTATAGGGACCATAAACCAGCCCCAATTTCCACACAACTCCTGTAGACACCTGTATGAATATCACAATGAGTGGCAGATAAAGCATGATCCAGGAATGCTGTTTTTATAATTGCAGGAGAGAAATAGTAACAAAGATCCTTCAACCTCCTACTATCCAGCTATTCTGCTAATAATAACAGTTTAGATCAAGATTAAATTCCAATCATAGTTCACTAAATAATCCACTAATAAAGTAACTGATCTAAGACAGCCAGTTGTGAAATATATATGAAGAACTTTTGCTGCAAATGTGTAAAGCACAGCATATGATAGTCTAGCCTCTGGTTTTACAGATCATTGCTTGCAAGGGCTTAAATGGAGCTGACAGTTGAAGAAACAAGAGATTCAGGAGATACAGTCTTACTGAGGCTGGATCATCTTCAGTATATTCACAAACAGCCAGGTACGTACACAGGAGGGACATTGTGTCTGCTAACGTAATCCCATGATAAGTGAACAGGTAAAATTACTCCAGTGATGTCTATTGATGTTCCTCGTAAAGGACTTAACAGCATTTGTTGCAATGCTGCCATGTGAAATCGTAAGATGACAGACTCAAAACACAGAGCTTACTGAAACCGAAATCAACATTAATTTTATTTACTGAAACCAACAACCAACATTATAATATTATGCAATTTGGATGTGCTTACCCCCCCTTCAAAGGTGTTTCTTTCTTGTCTGTTGCAATTCAGTTCTCAATGTGCTGTTGCTGCTTCTGTTCCTTTTAGTGACTTAATTCTGTCATTTTATTCCATGTTCAAGGCTGCTGGCTCACTGCCATATATTCAAAATTCCTAATATTCATGCATGGATTAACAGATAATCTAAAGTGGCCTGGGTAATAGCTTTTGATAGGACCATTTATGAAGATGGAGGAAGGGACATAAGAACTAACACAGGGGAAAGCTGGCATTGGCATATAGGAAGTTCATTGGAGGATATATGCAACCCACAGGGAAAGAAATAGCACTGATCTTAGAAAAAAATTTGAAATAATATTCTTTATTAAAAAATAAACAAAAATATCACATCACCAATACCAAAAACCAAACAACTCCATCTTCCAGGATCTCACACAAATACCACTTTCCCTCACATGCTTCTTGAATGCCCAACATCTTTCCTCAGTGATTAGTGGAAAGTTTAAGATTATGGGTAATTAGTATCTTATGGCTGTAAAGAAAGCTGCTGTGAAGGCTATACAGGCCGACAAACAGGACAGAGGGGGTACCTCCACTTCCCTCCACCAATTAAAAAAAATAGACAGTATTAGCACAATGCATCAGAGCAGGTTGTCCTGGGCAATCAAGAAGAGGTCCATACTAGTCCATATTATGTGAAGCAGTACTGGGCAACCAAAGAGAAGTTGGCACTGGTACAGAACTATGACTATAAGCCAATCGTGTGTCCTGACATCAGCAATTTTGATTTAAACTGTGTCTGATGAGAGCAGCAGCCCGAGTCACCCTGCCAGCACATATATGGGAGCAGCTCAAGGCTGAGACAATGCATCTGCAAGACTGGAGTGAAGCAATACTCTCATGATCCAAGTTACTGAACAAGCCAACAAGGTGCTTTTGTGTAAGTGGCACAGTCCACAAGTGTAGTAATTATGTTATTTTAGAGTTATTTGTAATTGAGAATATTATATAATGTTAAAATAACTCTACAGGTATATTTTGGTTTTGTATTTTGCAAGCCTACCACAAGAGTACTCTTCTAGCTTATCAGTCTCTTTGATTACATTTCCTAATTTTTTTCCCCCTGATCTGGCATACTAAAATTCCTAACAGAAGGTCACGTTAAATATAGAATCTGGATAATCTGCCATGAATAAGCAACCTACCAGTTACATATGTTACCTAAAACTGGTTTGAGATGGGAAATTTCAGTGTTCTTGTAACAATGACTGTTTCCTGACGGGAGGGAGGAACCTAAGCTGGATCATGATGGAACATCAAATGCCAAAGGGCACTCAGGAAGAATACCAAAACCAACCCAGACGACTCTCACAATTCACAGAATCACAGAATGGTAGGGGTTGGAAGGGTCCTCACTGATCACAGAATGGTTTGGGTTGGAAGGGACCTTAAAGATCATCCAGTCCAACCTCCCTGCCATGGGCATGATGATTCCATTCACATCAAGTAAACACTGTTTTAGAATTAAGGAGTACAAAACATGGAGTGACAAAAAAAAAAGCATCCACAGGTATGTTCTGTTCTCTAAAACAGGTATTAACAAGCATTTTGCTTTGGTTGTATGTTTTAGTAGAGACAGTTCAGCAAGTTACTCTGGCAGAAGACTCTGCGCATGGATGGCTCCTGCAGAGGATGGCGTGGCAGCTTAGTGGACTGGACAACGCTGGCCTGCAAGACTCCAGGTAGATTGCTGTGGTTAAAGCTAGTACTGTATGTATCTGTCCTTTTCTATGTAAAGAACATATATGGTTTATATTGAGTAAGTCTACAGTCACTAGAGAGGACTGGAAACTGCCAGATAGCAACAGATTGAAAGAGGCAAACTTTTAGGAAGGTGCCTCTATTTAGAGGATGGATATTGTTGACTTAATGCACAAAAGCCAACACTTTGTGACATTCAATTTACTGAATTAAAACCAAACTGACATGCTGAAAAACTCTGGTGAATGTGGAATTGTGGATCCTCCATGTCAAAATTGCTTAGTCAGCCTTAAATTTCTGCCAAGCAACTAACCAGCAAGTAGACATAAAATAACATTTTTAGTTGTGCAATATTTTATGATCTTAGTTTCTTGGTTTTATTTTATTATTGTATTGTTAGGCATTGCAGCAGTGCCTAAGAGATCCAGTAATGGAGCAGGGGTCCACCATATCAGAGACCATACAAACCCAGAATAAAAACACACCCCATAATATAAAGAGCTAAAAATGTATTTAGTTGATCTCCGCTTCTTGAAGTTCTCGTGTTCTGTTACATTCATTTCTCAAATCTTTGTAGCCTTGATCCCTAATTTTTATTTAATTTTATGCAATTAAATTTTTATTTGGCTGGGATTCATGTACACTACTCCAAAAACATCTAAAACTCTGCCTTGATTATGCAAGGCAGATGTTGAACTGTTACTTGACTGCTTTGTCCACTCAACTTTGTATGCACAGTACTTTGCGGACAGAAGCAATTTTGCTTCACTCAGGATCTAAGGTAGCTTAAAGCAAACCAGCTCCAGTGATACTTACACTGAGCCTTTGCTACAAATCTGGGGGCAGTGAGAAGGCACCCATTTACAGAAAGTGAGTTTCTGTTGACACTGGATTATCAGATGAACTTTTTCAAAACTTTCTTTTCCTGACACTCTGGGTACAGCAATGTTTTCAAAGCACTGCGACAAATCTTGGAAAAAACAAAGTACACAGCCAGTGTTTCAATGATTTGTCATCTTTCACCTGATCACTTACAAAAGGGTATTTAATATCCATTCAATAAAGTTTAAATAAATACTCCTCTTTTTGTCATTACAGTAAATAGAGATGCATCATAGTTGCAGCAATCCTAACCTGGTTTGTTATCTAACATTCCCAGAGTCTTGTGCAACATGAGCCTTTCCATCATATTCACAATTTTAAACTACCTACCTTCTGCATTAAGATGCATGGTTTCCAGAGGTCCAATAAATGCGTATCGCATTCCCAATCCATCAGACATCACAAGGTCTAGATCAGTCGGAGATAGTACTCCTTCCTAAGTAGCAGAAGGGGGACAGGAAGGAAGATTTGTGAGTATTTGGTTTTAATGCAAAATTGCCTGCTTTTTGTATAAAATTGAAAAATTAAAGAAGTAATAAAAACTAAGGCTAGAAATAGCAGTTAGCTTGCAAGCAGATTTTTTTTTTTTTGCAAGCAGAAATAGCAGAAATTGTTTTGCAAGCAAAACAACTGTTTGCCAGAAATGTCTATCTATTATGCAAGCCTTCCTGTTCAGTATAAACACCCACTCACAACTCTGGATTATGAACCACAATATTACAGCAATCTTAAACACACTTAGCTACATTTTGACAGTATCTTATTTTTAAATTTATAAATTAATACACTTTTTTCATACAATATGTACTATTTGTTCACACTAGTTTGCCTGATACTTATTACAGTAACTCATATACTAAAACTAAATCGATCTACGTTAATCTAGATACATTTTTCTCCAAAACTGGGATGTAGAGAACACAGAGCAAATGTGATGCTCTTGATAGCACACAACCAAAAGAGTTTCTATCAAATCCAAGTACTCTACCAGCCCCTTTAAATAAAGGAGTTGTGGTTAAATCTTACGTTTCCCTTCATACTCTCTTAGTTCTAGATTTTGGGGCAGCAGTGGGTACTACTCTTGAGGCCATCTGCAAAAATTGCTGGGACTAAACATAGAATCATCTGGTTGGAAAAGACCATACAGGCAACGCAGCTGCCACTCCCTTCCACAGAACTCACTGAACAGTCAGCCTACCCAGCCTCAACCTGCCCAGGTTCTCAAGTTCACTGCCAGCCTCGCATCTCTCAGCTGGCAGCACATGGAGCATGCAAAATGAAGCATTTTTGCTGTTAAAAGTTGAGCACTGCTGTTCCACCCACATGGTAGCACTTACAAGACAGCCAACACCCCCATCAGGTTAGGGCAAGCACACAACAGCTTGTCAAAGAAATGAATTACAGTTCATTACCTTTCGGATTTACTTGAGAAAAATAATATTTATTACATGAGGTTGTTTTCCACCTACGAGAAAAATATGAACGAACTAAGACCTGTTCCAACCACTTCCATCAGATAAAACTTGGTTTCAGAAACTTGTCCTCTTTGTTCCCAGAGATACGGGACTGTACCTACTTTGTCTTCTCACCCTACTTTGACGTGATCTCCCTACTCAGCACTTCTTTCTCCACAAGCCCCTTTGAGCTGCAGAATACAAATACATACACTCATCTGCTTGGCCAAGGACAGGTCTTCTGTTAACTTTCCCTCTCGCAAGGCCCTGTCTGAATGCTCCTTCATATCACAGCAATCACCTTGAGTTACAGGCATGCAGGACAGCTCTCCTGACCTGCTGTAGACATTGGCATCTAGACATCTACAGTCTCTTTATAATCACTAGGGAAGAAAAAGAAATCAGCACTCTAAAGCAGGCATCTGGAATAGAGAAGATGGGTTGTGTTCTAAAAGGACCTAATTCTCCTCACTGACTGAAAGATAACTAAAAAGCTTGGATGTTAATGTCTACAATGTAGAAATTCCAACTTAAGTGAGTTGAATCCCACCCACAGTGTCTTCTCTGCGTTCATCACTACATCATCTACTGTCATTTTAAAAGAAAATTATAAGCCACAACTTCTACAGCTGGCCACAGACATCAAGTTTCATGATCTCAGGCTTAAGTAGAGCCCTTCATAAGACTCAACCTCACGTCTCAATCTGTTAGTAGGCATTCCTCCTATTAAAAATAAGCCTGGCTGAATCCCCACTGCAGATGGCTTTTGAACTCTATCTTGACAAGGAAATGATAACGTAATTATTAAGATCTACCTGTCATATCTGGAACATGCAGCTCTGCTACCCATTTAACTAGACATTAAATGGCAGGGGCATGGAAGCATTCTTTTATTTAACTTAAAGGTAAGGCAGAAGCATGGTAAGGTAACTCATGAGAGGCAGACAGGGAGGTCTGCGTAAGGACAGGACTAAAGGCAAACCTCAGGCAGTGCTCAGGCGAGCATCGCTGTAACTAACAGAGGCACCATTCGTTCTGTGAAAGTTTTTTCCCCTGACATGGCAACACAACTTCTCTGAACAACATCAGCAAAGTCAACAAAAGCGCTCTTCATTCAAACAATGAGTTATGCTGGGAAAGCTGTGCTTGATGAGTGATTTTTTTTTTCCCCTGGTTGACATGGATTTGTGGACAAAAGATTAAACTACAAGTTCCAGACAAGCATTTGAACCACAGCAGCAGTTAGAATCTGTTAACATAACATTAAAGAGTTAATAGGCTCCTGAAACACCTCATAATAATAACAATTTTATTTTCAAATAAACCCCAGATTTATTTCTTTTGATACCATAGTCCTCAGCATTGGTACTGACATTTCAAGACCAGGTGCACTCAGAATCATGAGATGAGCACTTTGCTCATGAACTTTTGACTATAGCTGTAATTGTATGGTTACAGCTACTGAAAGGCAAAAACAGCTGCTATCAGAAGGAAAACATGATAGATCCCTCCAGTTGAGGGATGCATTATTCTATACATGTAAGCTTAGTCTTTCCTTGCCACAAAGACCCTCTTAAAGAAAAGCCTTTTACTTTTTCTCTTCAGAAATTAAAAACACGTAATTGGAAACAAGTTAGACTGTCCTCTTCTAGGGAATAACCCTACTCCCACTAATGGTAAGGGCAGCGGAGTGATTCAGCAGCGTGGGTGCAAGGTCAGCAAGGTGCCTTCCACAGGGATTGGTGTTTATGCTAAGTAGTAAACAAGAAAGGGCTCCAACCCAGTTTCAATAAGTCTAGGTGTGAAACAATCTTCCCATGGGGATTTTTCATCCTTCTCATCTGGGTAGCTCTTCTCGTAAGCCTTCCCCTTAGGCACTTGTCAGAGCAAACAGGAAGTGCATTAGAGTTTACCAGAAGCTTTCACAGCTACAGAATTAAGATCTTAATTACTAAATTCCACCAAAATCGTCAGTGACCCCAAGGGCCAGGAAAACTTCTAGATCTATACTAGCTTAGGACCTTCCACACTTCAGAGTGGAGCATCTCCCTTATGAGGAGCAGCTGAGGGAGCTGCGTCTCTTTAGCTTGGAGGAGACTGAGGGGTGACCTCATTAATGTTTATAAATTTGTAAAGGGCGAGTGTCAGGAGGAAGGAGCCAGGCTCTTCTCGGTGACAGCCAATGACAGGACAAGGGGAAATGGGTGCAAGCTGGAGCATAGGAGGTTCAACCTGAAGATAAGGAAAAGCTTTTTTACTGTGAAGGTGACAACATGGCCCAGGCTGCCCAGAGAGGTTGTGGAGTCTCCTTCTCTGGAGACATTCAAAACCCACCTGGACGCGTTCCTGTGTGATCTGGTCTGGGTGATCCTGCTCTGGCAGGGGGGTTGGACTGGATGATCTTTTGAGGTCCCTTCCAACTCCTAATATTCTGTGATTCTTATGACACCATTTAAATACCACAAACTCATCTTCAAGGGTATTTTCATCTCCTGTTATGCCACAAATTGTCCTAATACTCCCTCATTATTTTATTACTGCTTCTCACTATGCACAGGCTCTTTTCTCCTTTCCAAAAACCATCTCCATCTCTGACCCAACCTGTTTGGTTTTAATAGTGTCTTTAGATCTGTGAGTCACACCCACATCACAACTTCTGTCACCGACTTGGTTTGCAATCATATTAAATGTAACATGGCCAGAAAAACAATCTTACTTTTTCTCATACTACCAATTCACCATGTTCTGCTACTCACTCCAGTCTGACTGTAGTGTTACTCTGGACTTCACTCCCTCCTGGACTACATACTTTCCAACTCCAAATTTGCTACTTCAACCTCTGCATCTCCCAAATCCAGTGTTTTTTTTCCCTGATTTCCATTTACACATGCATTCTCTCCCAGAGGGACTTGTTACACCCTTCTCTTCACTATCACTTCAATCAAGTCCCTTCCATCCACACCCCGATAAGATCTTTTTCCAGTCTTGTCATTTTGAGCATACAACTTCTCTCCTAGATACCCTCTCTACCAGCTCCATCTCTTTCCATTTCATCATGTTTGAGAAACCTGTTGTTCTACACACTTCACACTTCCTTGCATTGCTGTCCTTTATCCTCCTCTCTCCATGGCATCTTATTCAACTCCCCCTATATGAAACCCTTAGTATCAACACTATTTTTCTCCCTGGCCCTTGAAACTTCCTTTTGTGATATGCCCCTTTTATAGGGCACTGTAACTCAGTGTTAACCTTCTACCTCGTCTTTGATCTTCTGGAAGTGTCCTCTGATTAACACTATAATACAATTATTAATAATAAGGAATTTGGAATTTAAAAAGTCTTGCCAGCATTTAAGGACTATCAAGGTAGTCACCTGAGAGGAGAGAGGTACATAAATTAGGGACTAAAGTCAATGCACCTGGTTGCTGTGAAAAGAAACTAAAATGGACACACAGCCAAACCATGACTGTTCTGTTTTCAAAAAGATTAACAAAAATGTCAGGGCTGCCCATTCTTCTTGTCTTTTACAATGACTGTAACCTAAAAGAAAACCCAGTCTTAAAGAAAATCTACATTAAGGTGGTATCAAAAGCTTATATAGAGGAAAATATAGGCTCTCAAGACACCAATCACACAGCCCATCACACAAAATAGTTTTAGCAGGTTCTTAGAAGCAGCTGAAACTCCTAAATTAGATCAGGGTTGAAAAACTGCCATGTTCTCCTCATTATCTCTGCTGTTGTATTTCATGACCTCCTGGCAAATTCCAGGTGATGCTTAGAAAAAATATTTCACCAAGAAAAGCTTCTACTCACTAATCCACAGTAAGAGAACAGTCCTAGGTATTCAGAGTAAGGTTTGAGACTTCCGATTAAAGTATTAGTGAAACTGTTTGGTTGTTATTGTCTGGATGAAATCAAACAAAACTTCACCTTCAAAACAAGACAAAGTCAAGCTATTTAAATAACACTCTTTTACAACTTAATCCCAAACTACTATAGAATTTATTGGTACTGGTAAAGTACAAAAGCAATAGTGTCAGCCATGCACAAGGTGCTTCCCAGGTAAATAAAAGCAGGAAGTCTCTGCTCCAAGGAATTATGAACAAAATCAGATATATCCGTGACTACTGTCAATGGAGGCATGATAAAATTAATGGTAGCAGGGAATAACAGAGATGTTTGAGATATTTTTCCTACTACTGGCTACAGATTATTCTAATAGTTCCGAACCTGCAGTATCAAAATTTAGGGTTGAGAAGAGAAGAATATGGATCTTCAACCTCAACACCTCACAGTACATCTGTTACTCGCATGATGATCAGCCTTGCAACACTTCTGAGATCCAAGAACTAAAAAAGTAAATAAGAAACCTACAAGGACACCAGTCTCACACGTGCTACAGAAAGTTCTCAGATATGTGACCTCAAACAGACAGCTGCATTTTCATGGAATAAATGTGGAGTATGGGGGAGACAGAGATAACTGATGCAAAAAGTTCCTGCAACAAACACCTGCATTGTGCAAGTGCTTGTGACTTGCAAGTCAAACAAAAAGACAAAAAAAGACATCAAAAAGACATCTTGCCACACAAAAGACTGACTCAGATCCAAACCAGAACATCTGACTGCAGCACTTTTGCCTCAAAGGGGAGCACTTGCTTGAATTCCTTCTTCTAGGCCCATAAATGAAACTATGATCTTCTCTTCTCTGTTCTTGTAAAGTCAAGCTTCTGCATCCTTAAATCCATATTCCTAACTATCCGCCCAGCCAAAGTTCTCAGCCCTCAGCTGTATGTCTCCACATGAGTTTCCATTCTCCTGCTTTCCTACAAATCGGGATCTCAACTCTCAGGCCTCCTAATTTTTCACCACCGTAACTCTGTACTTCCCACTCCCACATTTGGCCCTGTCCTGCATTCACAGCACTCACTCTGTGTCCATTTACCACACTACTTCCCATACAGCTCCACGTTCATGCTCTGCATCAGAGTCCTTCTCCCATTGTATGATCCCTGTCCCATGCCTCCCCCATCACACATCCCAACGCAGCACTGCTAAAGAAAGGAGAGGGACTGGCAGATCAACGGTCACCAAGCTACATTTGAGAATTAGAACACATCCTGCAAGCTGCTCAGTCCATTTGTGATGGAGTTTTTCAAGATAAGTGTTATTAGTACAGGTGTACCTGCACGTCTGTCCTACCACCAATGCTTTTTCTAACAGGACATAAATACTTTTACAGCAAAAGCTTTCACCGATTTCTTGAACAAAATAAGCTCAACTAAAAAAAAAATCCCAAACCAGCCACCCAACAAGATTGTTTTGGTCCATGCAAAGGCATCTGAATTTGGACTTTGATAAAAGTATATGTGCACATGCATGCATGTGTAACATCACTCCCCTGCCATTACTGTGAATATTTTCAAGGGGAGGACACAGATGAGAACTTTCAAGCTCACATCTCAACAAAGTCCTAAAATACTAGATAGCTGTTTATATAAAAAGGCTGATTTAAGATCATTTTGAGTTGCTTCAAAACACTTGGAGAATGTTGCTATGTTTCTCTCCTGGTTCATACTATCATTTATACATGGAATATTTATGTCTTTGCTATGTGGCAAGAAACCGATACGCTGTAGTGCAAATACAACGGTCCTCCAGCAGGTATTGCTCAAGCACTCGCTGTGTTAAACTTCAAGATAACTTATAATAGAAATAGAAGCACTGATCAGTTTATGACATGTAACTGTAGGTATACCAAGATACTTGCTCAGATCTTTGCAACCACTAGTAAACCAAGTTAGCATGAACTTATGTTTTATGGTTCTCTCTCATTGTTCTTTTACAATAGTCAAAAGCAATGTAAAATTACTAGCATCAAAATACCACAGTGTTCATAAGCAATAACATAATAAAATAATAACATAACAATCTCTCTGTTCTGCATCCAAGCTGACTTGGATTGTGACATCCAGTACATACAATTTACATATCTAACCACGAAAGGATTAATAGTGTCATCATTTTGGACAAGAATGCTTTATTAATATGTTCCTCCTGCTAATATACAGTTTATGTTCTGCCCCCAGTGCTTCTTAGAGTAAGGAAAACTTTCGTTACCAGAAGGAATCAATGTGAGTAAAACTCGATTTGTAGGAGCCTCTCAAAGACCAAGAGTTGGGGAAGCTGACGTTTTCAACAATAAGGACTGAAAAGTGCCTTAAACAATAAGAAGCAGTAAGTCTTTTCCCCCACTTTGAAAGTGGAAACATGAAAAGAACACAACTTGCAATAACTAACTTGGCAGCACAACAGTAGAAACACAGAAACCGCCCCAGGCCTGCAGCTCTCCCCTGTGTGCAGGGGTTCTCATCCCATCAGGGGCAGTGCGTAGCCTCAAGTCACACAGCTGAAACCACACACCTTTGAGAGCGGGGATTTGTCCAGGCTTCTGGAATACAAATACAGCCAAAGTTGTTACAGTTTAAGTGTGTATTTGTCTGAAACACAGTAAAATTATACAAAACCAGAACCATTTGGAAACTTTGATGATGCAGCTTTCACTACCTGACAGTTCTTCAGGCACTATTTTGTTACTATTCATATACCACCACTCACACAAAAAGCATCCATACGGGTTCTTGTTCTTAGCATGACTTGCTCTATGCCAGATCCCTTCCTTTCAAGGAAAGGTTACAATGCAAGAGCTTCCCCAATAATGAACACTGCAGTTCAGTTAGCTTTTTCAACATGAATCTTCCTTATTTACACTTTTTAGCAGTAATTTTTAAATTTTTCTTGCCAAATCTCTTTTCATCTGGGGTTATCAGGATTTAAAGCAATTTAGAGGTTGGAATCCTTTTATACTGTGTTTTTCAGTATGATCACAGATTTCTGAAGGGGTTTTGCTCATCATATACTTAAGATTTTGTATTAACTCTTTTAATAAGAGAAACTTTTGGGTTTTTTGGTTTAAAGAAACATCTCCAGAAGAAGATTAGTTTCTCTCTAACAATATTAGATTACTTATTATTATTCACCACCTCCTTTATATTGTTGTACTGTTATCGCTATGGAAGCTAACTAGAGGTAAGCAAAATCAGTTCAGCAACAATGTTTATATTCTGCTTTGGAAAAAGTTGCTCTGTGTTACAGTATGTTAATATTACCTTAGTTTAAGATCTTTCTACCTATATTTGTGTGCATGGTTGTTTTGAACAGCTTGAAAATATCCAAACACTCTCCATGACAAAAGAGGAAGCCCTACTCAACCCCAATTGAATCTCTTCTTAAGAGAATAGCAACAGACTCATAATTCAGTTCTTCCTGATGAAAGATCAGACTTTCAGCACAAAACAGGTAACTGTGGGAAAAGATGAAGGGGCACAAACAAATGACTCTAAGCTAAAAGTCTGAATGGGCAGGAGGAGGAGAAATCTGCCTTCAACTACAGGTATCAAATAACTGTTGAACCTTTGAGCGCAACTCTTGAAAGGCCAAAGAGAAAACCATTGAAAATATTATTTTCATAACCACTATACAACAGAACAGCAACACTCAGAAAAATAACAGGAAATTATGAGACAATCTAGGAAAAACAAAAACCAGTATTTTTATTTCTGTGCTTTTAAGATGGTTCTTCTAATTGTCCTGAAAATTACAGTATTCTAAAACGAAAGCAGAATAAAGGATAGTTGTTACGATCCCATCGCTCTGTTTTTCTCAGTCTTTGCTATTTATAACTGACATCACTTCCTACTGTTTTTAATTTACATGTTCAGACGGGACAGTTTAACAAAGATGACACAAATTTCTAGGAAATTTAAATATATAATCTCACTTGTTACATCTACAAAACCAGCAGAGTGTGCGTGTGTAGAAAATGGGAAAAAAATAAATACATACACCCACAAGTCTCCAGGCTTCACTTATCACTGCATACTGGAGCCGATTCAGGACAAACCCCTCGATTTCTCTGTTGAGTTTGACAGGAGATTGACCAGTCTTCTTCATGAGGGCGTATGTCCTCTCTGTAGTAGAAGGATCTGTTTCTGGATGAGGAACAATTTCGACCAACGGCACAAAGTAAGGTGGATTTACCTAAAGAAGAAACACAAAAGGAGAACGTCAACTATCAACAGATTAACAAAACAAGTTAACAGAGCATTTTTATAGCTTGTTACTAGCAAGCTATAAAAATATATACATATTTTCCAGTGAACACATCAAGCTAGATCTTCATCAAGACTTAACCAATCCAATAAAAGCTGATATATCATTTCAAATTTTAAAAAATAATTAATCTTGCATTAAATTTAACTGTATTTAATCCCAGCAAAGTTCATGGCACTAAAGATGACAGCATTCAAACAATACCAGAAGACTTTATACTGACTTCAGTAACTCATGTTTTCTCAATATTCAAGCTGTTTGTTGTTGTAAGACATGGCCACCACCTGTCTCTCCAAATGAAGCAAGGCATTTCCTTTTAGATATTCAGGAACTTTCAAACAAAATCATTGCTAAACACCACCTGTAAGATGCAACACTTAATAGACAAGCTGCTACTGGCCCAAGCCTTTAAATCTATGCTAAACACAGTGACAGATACCACACAAAACATACTTCACTAAAGTTGCAGAACAGCTTACCTTCAAACAAACACTCTACCCACTTCAAAAATAATTTAAAAAGAAAAATTACCTCTCCCTGACTCTTCTGAAATGTAATTCCTCATGAAATCAAGACCTTTGTGTAATGGATTGTTGAAATAATAAACAAAAAATTCTAAACAACAGCTAAAAGTTCTTCAGGTTACACTGAACAGTGACACTGCCTGCACGCTCTTTCCAAAAGCAGAGTTCATCAGCCATACTCTTAAGGTGCTAAACTCAGCTCTCAGTCTGGTTCCAGGCAATAGAAGGAGCCAACATATTATCAATTACTACCAGAAAAAACACTGACATTTAAAGGATGGTAATTAAGTACCGATTCTTTCACCATCCTCCCATGTAGCCAACCAAAAGCTCTTAACTGTGCTCATATAAATACAAGCACAGGATTCAGTCACAGCAACGTGCCAGCAGTCTTTCCTCTCTGTCAAAGGCTTTAGCAGAGTCTCCCATAGCACCCTCCTAGAGTATCTGGTGGCTCATGGCTTGGACAGATTTACTCTTTACTGGGTTAAAAACTGGCTGGATGGCTGAGCACAGAGAGTTGTGGTGAAAGGAGTTAAATCCAGTTGGTGTCCAGTCACAGGCAGTGCTTCCCAGGGCTCAGTTTTGGGGCCAGTCCTGTTTAACATCTTTATCAGTGATCTGGATGAGGGGATTGAGTGCTCTCTCAGCAAGTCTGCAGGTGACACTAAGCTGGGAGGGAGTGTTGATCTGCCTGAGGGTAGGAAGGCTCTGCAGAAGGACCTGGATAGGCTGAATCAATGGGCTGAGGCCAACTGTATGAGCTTCAACAAGGCCAAGTGCCGGGTCCTGCACTTTGGTCACAACCACCCCATGCAGCCCGACAGGCTTGGGGATGAGTGGCTGGAAAGCTGCCAGGCAGAAAAGGACCTGGGGGTGTTGGTGGACAGCCTCTGAACATGAGCCAGCAATGGGCCCAGGTGGCCAAGAAGGCCAATGGCTTCCTGGGGTGCATCAGAAATAGTGTGGTCAGCAGGAGCTGGGCAGTGATTGCATCCCTGTACTGGGCACTGGTGAGGCTGCACCTCAAGTATTGTGTTCAGTCTGGGCCCCTGACTACAAGAAGGGTATCAGGAATGGTCAAACACTGGACCAGGCTGCCCAGGGAGGTGGTGTCACCATCTCTGGAGGTGCTCAAGAAGCACCTTGATGTGGCACTTCAGGACATGGTTTAGTGGGCATGGTGGTGTTGGGTTGACGGCTGAACTCGATGATCTTAGCGGTCTCTTCCAACCTTAATGATTCTGTCATTCTGTATGTTCTTTCTTTTCAGTATGCACACAGTTTCTTTTACTATAGGGTCTGACCAATGCATAAACTGTTGTAGGCATTAACGACTCACTTACTTCCTCCCCTTTCAAGTGCCTTGTGTTTCATCATAACCTTTCTCACATCAGTCTCTTTGGCAGTGCCACCACCAACGCTGGGGGTGGCATATGGACGCCACGTGGTGCCAGGCAATTTAGCAAGACCCAAACCACTGCAAGCACCAAGAAGTTCTCTGAAGGCTTTTCTAACCCTTAAGCACATTACCAATCAGGAAAAGGACAAGTTAATTTCTGAGAGACACCGAGGCCATTACAAATTTCTTCCAAGATGAGTGTTAGTCAACTTATTGAAATATTCTATTTCGTGAACTTGGCACAGGAAGTACACAAGTGTTTTCATGAGCTCACTGAGGAGACTTAAGACAATTTTTTTTAGGAATGAGAGAATAGGTGTTAGTAAAAACTAAAAGAAGTAAAACATGGATTAAGTTAGGAGTGGGGGAAAGTTTCTCAATAAGAGAAGGGGAATGCAAAACCTTTCTTCAGGAAGCAGAAGAGCTTACCTTACTGTCATGGTTTAGGGCTGGGCTGGCCACTAAATCCTGGACAGACACTCTCTATTTAACCCCTCTCCCCTCCCCAGAAGGGAAAAGAGAATAAGGGAGGGAGACTTTACGGGTTGGAAAATAAACTAACAGATTTAATGAAACAATAATACTAATACTACAGATAATATTGTAAATATGAAAATAATGAAATATATACAAATATATACAAAACCAATATAAAATCCTCCCCCCACCCTTCCCCCCCAATGACAATTAGGTCACCAGAGGCTCTGCAGAGCCGGGCACTGGAAAAGTCCCAGACCAAACTCAGCAGCAGGTGGGAGCAGGATGCAGGAACACACTGATCAGGATCAGCAGCAGACGAACTGTCAGGATTCTGCTCAGGCCTTGGCCTCTACAGGATCGAGATGGAAGGAACGGTGGAAAAAGGGCAAAGGCATGAGACCCTCGTGATCTCTCAGTTTTTATACCGAGTATGACGTATGTGGGATGGAATACCTAGCTGGTCAGTTTTGGGTCCGCTTCTCTCTCCGTAGGCACAGACACAGCACCCAGGATGAGACAACTGACCTTGAGCATATCTTCTAGCAGCGCTGTTTGGGAAAAACATGCTGCCAGTTTTCAGCAAGTTCAGTCACTTAAAAGAGACTGAGCTGAAAAGTAAAATCACTAAATAGAAAATTAGTTCTATTTAGCTCAAACCAGGACACTTAGCCTAACAAAATGAATGCTAAGAAAGGGTATGACAGAGTAAACACAGAGAAAGAATTAAGCTGCACATAAGCTGCCAACAAACACCAAATTAATATTAATGAACTGTTAATAAGATTGGAACAAAAGTTAGAAGACAAACAGCTTCCAGCAGGAATAGTGGAGTTAAAAAAATAATCTAACAGATAGAGGTTAATACATTTTAAGGTGATTTGATGACATGGTTTCCCATACAGCAAGGGATTTCACTCAATGTCAGAGTTTCCTCTAGCTCCATATTTGTAGCTGTGTGACATAGCAGGTGTATACAGTACATGAGAAATGAACAGACCTCCACCGATACACTGCCTGAAACTGCCTGCAGAGAACAGCTGTACCTACAAGCACTGCAGGCATCTCTATCACACAGCTGTGCTATGAGATTTCATTTCTTTTTTCTAATTACTGAACTTATTGCTATATTAAGCAAAGGGATGAGCTCCTTCTGCCTTTTGGGCATTTAATTTAATTTCATTTCTCCTCAGCATGCTCACCTGCGCCAGGGGCTTTACAACTTTAGCTTTTAATTTTTCTGGTCTATCAAATTCCAGACTTGTTTTCACAGCATCTTTCAGAGCTGCTTGCGTCCTGCCACCACCATTCCTCATAGCCTACTATTATGCTCAAGATGTTAGTGAGACCACAGTTAAAACAAACAAAAAATAAACCCAACAGAACCAGCAAAAGCTAAAAGCTACTACAAAGCAAGCCTGCTTACTGATATAACAGATACAGAAAGGCTCCTGGAAGAGTACACTGCCTCACAGCTTCTCTAGTACACTCCTCTTTGAGTGAAGCTGAGATTGCTAGGAAAATAGTCTCAGTTGGACTGCAAAACCATTTCAGAACAATTAGACATTTTAAGGCACTCCTGTGTATTTGCTTTGGAAAATACACATATCCTTACCACAACAACCTAAAAAATGTTTATGCAGGGACTAGCTACCTTTCCAGATCTGATAAAACCCATTTTTAGAAATGACTCTTATAAAGACTGCAGCTCAGAATAAACAAGTCAACTGGTACAGACCAACTTAGGAAAACAGTAAGGAAGAGAAATGTAAAATCTTTGTCAAGGACTGACAAACAGTCAGAGTCTAGGCAGAAGCCCAGGAATTGGTTAAAAAAAAAGTAAAACCATAGCTATAGTTACTTATTACAGAAATCTAGAAGAAACATTATCTCATCTCTTGCACTACAGAATGTTACAACCCTGGAAATATGAGATAGATAATGAATTTTAGATTGGAGAAGGGCTAAACCTAGGCACAGATACATACTTTGAAGTTTGACCTTTTTTTAATTAAAGGGGATGAAAACTAATTATACAGAAAGAAATCAATCCTTTTGTTCCTTTTCTTCCCAGTCACCCCAAGGCACAACAATGGTGGAGGGGTACCAGAAAGGGACTGACCAAATGCTTTGACACTGCAGCATTAGGGTACAGGTAGCTGTAGAGACATTACAGTAAATAAGTGGTGTATTTGTGTGTTCACACTGCCACTCTTGAGCATTCCCAGGGAACTGATGGTTACACTCTAAGGAATGTCCTGGAGAGACAACATGTAACTACCAAACGGCAGACAGCAAACTTTCACAGCAACAGTCCTCTGAACTGATCTGTCAAACACCAGACTTACATTAGGGTAACAAATTCATTAGCCTTTGAGCTGTGGAAAACAGAAGCAGTAAGAATCCCAGGCATCAAGACAAAATGCTCTTCCATGCTTCGGAGAGACGTGATAAACTGCTGTCTGGCAGCCCCACGTAGACCTCTACAGAGGCTCACAGGTGTCCTTCAGCATCTTAAGGTTCTGCTGCCACCTCTAGTCATGCCATTTCTGCATCACTGCCCTGTCCCAGCTGGTCACAAAGCATGCAAATACAGCTCCAAGCAAAATTTGTTCCATTTCATCCACCTGCTTTTCCTCTTCAGGTGTACTGCTTCTGCATCAGAAGCCTGAAGAGACCAGAGTCAAAACAAGCCTTCCATCTTTCATCCATGTAGACAAGCACATGTGGCTCACTGTTTGGATCCTTACTCTTACCAAACAGCAGCTGAAAAAGGACACTAGAAACACCACAAAGAAAGAGTAAGGAATTTTATATGCTTGTCTTCAAAACACAGAATTCCTACATTCTGAGAGCCAGTAATTTGAGTAACACACACCAACATGAGCACAACAGCTTAGACAGAATGTATCTTGAGCCAACAGTCCGAAACATGCACACATCCTCTCAATTTAGTAGATGCTGCTGCTCACAGAATGACCAAACTAAAACTTCTGAAAAGTCAGGCTCCTGCACACTAACGATAGCACACAAACACTCCACATATCCTTCTGTATCTCTCAGTTTGCAGGGAACTGTTTGGGATGCAGTTCAGTTAAACACCTGTACTACTACAAGAACAAAACCAAAACTTGCCATCATACTTACAGGATGTGACACAATACACTGCTTAACATGCTTAAGGCCAGTGAACAATTTGCTGGGTAAGAGACAAGAGGTCGAGCTGCTCAAGATGACATTGTCACCGACAATAAGATCTAACTGGCCAAAAATCTTCTTTTTCAGTTCCAGGTTCTCTGGAGTACATTCCTGGAATAGAAAAAAAACAAAACTAGTATTAGAAGTCTTCTAGTTCAGTAGCATTTATCCATATATTTCAGATACAGCAGGGAGCCATAACACAGTATCTTCCCACATATAAAGAAATGGAAAGCCCAAGAGTTTCTCTATAGCAGAAGATGGACCATCACACACCATAGATTTAAAATTATTCTGCTTTGTCTAAAATAGTTTTACTCATTCACAGAAATAGCACACTATGGAGGAATAAAATCTGGTCTCCATTTTTTTAAGAGAATCTCATGTAATAGAAGTCAGTATTATCTCTGACAAGATGGAAATGAATAGGTGTATCTCAAAAGACGACAAACTTCCAATCTACAGAACTACAGCAGGAGGTTTCCAAGGTGCAGTTCTGGAACCTGCACTGAAATGTCTCTCAGTGACTCTTACACTTGAAAAGCTTAAATATCTCCATTGATGTCAACTCTAAGCAAGATTTCCAAAGAGGAATGGACACTATCAGAACTTTTCCCAAAGTTATTAAGCACATTCAGTTCTGCAGTATTGTGTGAAATTTCAGATGTAGGAGCCAAGACCCACAAGAGTTGAAAAAATTATCCCCAGGAGCTGCCTGAA